GCGTCTTGAGTCACATTTTCCAGGCGAAGTGAAGTCACTTTCTTGGCTTGTCCAGTGTTTTTCGGGGCTGGATCTCTCTTTGTACGTTATCTCATCAATTATGTTCGAGATGTTCTCCTCATGGTTTAGATCAGGTGAGCTTGCCGGCCAGTCATCCTTGGGTACAAAATTTGGCAAATTGTTGAGACACCGCGTCTGAGCCGCCTTTGAAGTCTGTGGCGGCGCGCCGTAATGCACAAAGGTCATCGCCTTCTTTGACCTGAAGAACATTCTTTCCGTCGGTCCGCCTGTAACCTGCCGCCTTGAGGGTTAACGGTTTTACTTCTTTTCTAGGATTTCTTTGATATAGTACTCGGAGGTTAAGGTCTGGCCACTAGGTAAAATGTAACCTTGTCAGGCCACGACCCTCATACCTCCACATACCATTACCTTTGCACTTTGCTTCACCTAGTATGCTGGGAAAAAGTCCGCACTCCTGAGAGCCCCATACGATATCGCTTTTGGATTCGGGTTTTGAAACAGATACTTAGGACACTCATCTGCAAATAAAACGTCCTCCCCATCCTCTGCCGTGAGTTTGTAATATTTCCTGGCAAATCGTAACCTTAAGCGAGCCATTCTTTGCTTCTCACTTAGCAGTGGTATCTTCTTTCGCTTGAGCTTTCCGCCCTTTGTTGGTCAAATACCTCCAAACCGTTGTGTTCCGAAACTTTGATATTATGACTTTGAAGACTTTTAGCAATCCTTCTTGTTGAATTATTACGCTTATACTTAGCTTTTTTCGATTACAGTTCTCCTACGGTTCGTCAAAAACAGACCCTTTATTGAAGCCAGCGATAAATATTTGTACGTACAAATATATTTACTTTTTAAGGCGTTTTTTTTTTTTTCTTTTGGATATTTAAGTTAAAAAGTTATATGAGAATTAAATTCAATCAAGATATATGACTCTCTGTCCGGCTTATATCGGTTCCAAATTGTAATTCGGCGTCCTATACCCGTTCCCGTTCCGCTTCCTTATTCTATTCCTATTCCTTTTCCGGACTCCGGTTTCCTGATTTTCCAGACGCACATTTGAAGTTACGAAAGTTCAAAGATTTTAAAGCCTTTAAATGTCAGTCTTGTCCACACACGTGATCATATTAGTAAAACAGGATTGAAGGGAATTTTATAAGATATACATAGTAATCAAAAGAAAGGGTGTCAGTTATGGAATTTGGAATTAATATTCCGAACTGACCTCCTTCCTCAGTTATCTTCTCGCTAATATTTTCTTTTCAGTTCTCATCTGTTCTCTGATGTAAGAGAAAATGATATGCTTTGTTTCTCACGGCAAAGCTAAAAAGTCAAAAATTTAAAAATTCCTTTTTGTTAAAAGCATTATTAAAAGTTAGCAAAATTAATCACAAATTTAGCCTCATTTTTTTGGAAACTGACCTCCGTCCTCAGTAGCGGAATTTTCATAGCCTCCAACTTCTCGCTCACGTTTCCCATTCACGTTTCATCTGCTTTCTGAGTTTAACTGAACAAAAAATCGGTAAACATCAAAATCAGAGTCCAACTTGTCAGCTGAGATAATTAGCAATTATTGGATGAGATTGAGAATGATCTGAAGAATTATACAGATCTCTGAGGGTATTATCCGCATGGATTTGCCTAATTCTTCAGATCATACGAAAGAAGATCCAATAAATGCTAAATTACTAACTCGCCTGCTATTAGTGCCCTCTTTTGTTGTTGCAAACAAATTTTGTTTGAATAGACAACATTTTTTTCCTTTTTTGTGTAAAGTTCACATCACTGCAACTCAGTCAGTCATAGACTTAAAATTAAACCTGTTTGAGGTTTAATATTTATATGTCGGTTTATGGTTATTAATGCGTTTTTGTAAGGAAAAAGTTTATTTTGTCTAATTCCACGGTTTCATTTCAGCCCTACCCATACCTTATTCTAATCGCGCAGTAAATTTACCTTCGGAAAGAAGAAACCTATTTAGTGCTACACTTCAAAACTTTTATTAGTTAATACCTTCCATTCTATTAAGTTGGTCCATAATAAAAATAAAATAATAAGATATTCATCTATACCTTCCATTTCATCAAGTTGGTCTTTGATGTTGTCTTCGTCTTTCTTCCATTCCTTTAACGACTTTCGGTAATGCTTCTCCGTATCTGGATCCATAGTCTCAGTTTTTAGTTTTGCGATAGCAGCTGCATCTACACCAAGTGGAGTCAGTGCGGCACTTATATCCTCCACAATGAATTAAATGTTAGATCGTCCACAGACTCCTGGCTGGCATGCCCATAGACCGAGTTCCTATAGTACTTCACTCTGGCTATGTTAGCCTCAATACTCGTGTCTGAAGCAGATGGAACACTGTCCCAGCCTGTGCCGGGAGCAGTCAGACCACAGATGTTCCTCAGCAGCACCATCAGCAGCGTGATGTCAAAGTCTTCTGGTGTTACGGATGAAGGATGAGAGGGATACAGCTTACCCCATTGTGTAGCATTGATGATTTCTCTTCCTTTTAAGGGACTGCAGAGTTGAATGTTCTGGAGAACCAGCTTTCAAAACGTAAAACAGGTTTGCTGGGAGTGGAATTTGTCAAAGGTGTATCTCAAGGCCTTGGTGCGTCCATCTACTAAAAGGCGACATAATCTTGCGTAATTAGTGGTCTCCTTGGTGGATGAAGCTTGCAAGGCATAATTTAGACCGTTGTAGTTGTATACCCTATTCGTTCTCAGTTTGTAAAATCCTCAAATAACAAACAACCATTTAAATGTATTCTTAAAAAGGCGTTATATGAATTGTGACTACACTGAATGTTATCTACAGATTGGAAAAAAAGAATAACAATAAACTACGCAAGCTTGCCAACGAGTTCTAAAAAAAAAAAAAAAAAATTTACGGTAATGTATAAAAGATATTTGTTTTGAATCTCAACCGACATCGCTTACTTAAGATACGGAAAACGGGCAACAAAAACGTGCAACTTGTTTTGCAACATTGTTGCAAAACGAGTTGAATAGCGATGTCCGCATTTTACCACTCACGTTCAAACCTGTTAACAACGTGACAAGTTGCACGTTTTTTGTTGCCCTTTTCCGTACCTTAAGTAAGCGATGTCGGCTGAGATTATTGTAACGTAAGTTTTGGAGCTTTGAATTAATCCTCTATTTTTCATCTTCAAAACTACATTGTCGACAAAAATAATATCTCAGCAGAATGTGGGAACATACCGGGATGCTGGAAATCCCTTTTCAGTGTCATTTGGCTACCTACAACTATGGAAAAGGCCATTTTTTTTTTTTTCATGGCAGGCCATGGCAAAATTTATCTTGTAGCGACCTCAGAATTTCAAACGACGAACAGAACAATCAACTCCTGGAGACGACCTCATTAGCCTGCTCTGTGGTATTGTTTCTACTGATAGAGAGCTTACCAGGTCGATTTCCCCTATTGTTTTCCACCAAAGTACTATTCCCAGAGGCTTGTGCCTATGTGTTATAAAGCGAAAGAGATGGTCTAATAGCTGCATTTTGTACTATCCAAACTCCGATGCTTCATTTAATATCGTGGAACTGTGTATCATATTGAGCGGAGATATTCATCCGTTACCCGTTCAAGATAATGAAACAAGGAAAACTATCTTTGTTTGCGTCGGAACTCGACACAGGAAAATCAGTCCTGTTATGCGCGGTCACAATTGTACCAGTGTACCATTGTTATGCGTGCAGTCATCGATGCATGGAAAACCCTTGTTTCTGTGGAAATTACACCCGGTTGTGCTTGCCATGAATAATTTCGAACTTGATACAGCTGTTGATAATTATGGCTTATCGACTTTGAGGGGCTAAACATTGCTAATGAGCCCTGCGTAGTTGCTATACAGTGGAAGCAAGTGTTGTTGAAAGTAAGAAAGAGGAAATGGTTCAAATGCCGTGTAAATTCCTATTCTAACTCCGATGCTACCTGTAATGTTATGAAATTAGGCAATGAACGCAGTGGTGATGTGCATCCAAAGCCTGGCCCGAGTGATAACTGCACTTCAGAAATCACAGTTAGGATTTCAAGTAGAGGTTACAACAATGGCAATTTATGGCTCAATGGAACATCTTTATGCAATCGTAACATGACGAACATGTCGACTAAGATTCAGAGAAAAGCTCATTGTTTACCTAAAGTCAGCACATGTTGTTTAAAATTCTGCCTTATAAACACCAGATCTGTTAGGAACAAGACAATGGTAGTTAAAGACTTTGTTGTAGACAATGATGTAGATATTCTGGCTTTGACTGAGACTTGGCTAAGACCTTGAAACATTGATGACATTGATGTGGGAACCATGTGTCCTACTGGATACAAATTCTTACATGTCCCCAGATAACACGGCAGAGGAGGAGGAGTTGGTGTCTTATTCAAATACAATCTTGATGTTAACACCTCAGTCACAAATTCCTTTGAAACGTTTGAATTCATGGATGTTCGTCTCCGAAATTGTCAGAGCGTTAGAACTTTAATCGTTTATCGACCGCCTAACAACACGTCGTGTGCCCTGTTTTTTGAGGAATTTTCTAGACTGCCAGAAAATGTTTTATCTGAGACCTCCGCTAGCCTAATGATTACTGGGGATCTAAATTTTCATATGGAAAATTCTAACAACGCCCATACTAGGCAGTTCTTTTGAAATTCTTGAAACCTTTGATCTCAAACAGAATGTCTCTTCGGCTACTCACGCAAGTGGCCACACCCTAGATCTGCTAATAACAAGATTAAATGAGGAAATTGTAAGGAACGTTAAGATCCATGACCCAATGATCTCTGATCTCCTTGCAGTATTTTGTAATTTATCTCTCAAAAAACCTCAGTTCAGGAAGAAAGTTATCAGCACTCGAAAACTGCGCTCCTTGGATACTGACTCCTTTTACGAGGATGTTCGTAATTCTTCTTTGGTTCAAGAACAACCCACTGACTTGGATAGTGCAGTTGATCAATATGATCATGGTCTTCGAATGCTTTTGGACCAATACGCCCTCGCTAGAAAGCGTTTGGTGACAATAAGACCTTGTTGCACCATGGCATTCGCTAATAGTCGCTACTGAAAAACAGAAAAGATGTCGCTTACAGAGAAAATGGCGGAAGACACGCCTACAGAGTGACCGGGAATCGCACCAGTATCAGTGTTGCGTTGTCAACGATTTGATTAGTTCACTGAAATCTACTTATTATACATCAATAATTACTGAGCATCCCTCAGATCAAAGGGTGCTGTTTAGAACTGTAAACAAGCTTATGCAGAAATCTTATGAGACGCGATATCCACCTTCTCTTAGCAATGCTTTACTTGCTGACTCATTTGCTGACTTTTTCACTGCCAAAGTGGAAAAGATTCACACTGCCCTTGTGGCAAGAAAAAGAGATCTATCGCTAGTGGATGACAATGAATTGCCTACGAACACTGCTGAATTAAATAACTTTCACGAGGTCAGTCAAGAAGACGTCAAGGAATTTGCTTATAAGCCTTTAAGCAAGTCCTGCTGTCTTGATCCTCTGCTGGCATCAGTACTTAAGGATTGTTTCCCTGTACTCCTACCTACTATTACCAGGATGGTTAATTTGTCATTGACAACTGGTTTTATGCCTAATGCCCTGAAGATTGCTTCGCTTTCACCTACATTAAAGAAACCAACTGCTGACTTCAAGCAGTTCCCAAACTTTTGGCCAATCTCAAATTTAAAGTTTATTTCTAAGCTTGTTGAAAAGTCTGCTGCAGTTCAACTGAAGAAACATGTTATGACCAACCATCTTGACGAGACGTTTCCGTCAGCATACAAAGAATTTCACTCAACTGAAACAGCACTACTTAGAGTGCAAAATCACATCTTGTGCTCTTCGGATCAAAACAAGTCGGTCATATTACTTTTATTAGATCTTGCTGCAGCATTTTGACACGGTGGATCACGCAATACTAATATCTCGACTCTCGAACAGATTTGGGGTGAAGTGAACTGCATTGGCCTGGTTTAAGTCCTACTTAACCTCCCGCCAACAGTTTGTTAAGGTAGAAGAGGGCATGTCATCAAAGGACCGTTGTTGCGTTGGGTGCCTCGGGGGTGTGTACTGGGCCTACTGCTGTACCCTTGTCTATACTGCGCCGATTGCTGAAATCATCAAAAAGCATAACTTACTATACCATCAGTAGTCTACTATGTTAACACTTAACCGGATTCTTGCCTTCCCCTTGCCTTTCGTATGCCTTCCTTTAATTAATATGTATAACGGTCGAGTCCTTGACGTCACCCATTGTTATAACCTATGGAAAAGTGCCTTCCTCCATACTAATGAGGGTATTCCTGCATACTAATTCGGCATAGGTTTACTAATGAGCGTCTCTCTACTTCAATAGAAACAATAGGTTTGCCTAGACTTGCCGGGCTCCTTTAACCCTTATTGGGTCATATAGAATGTATTCTATCTTCCAAATAAAAGCGGCTAGATTTCGAAAGAGCTATCGTTCTTGCAATCGCTTTGCTAAGGAAACAATTTGTTCGAGTTCGCTTACCTAACTAAAAATTCGGGTTATAAACAAAACTCAGACGCAAAATGGAGCTCAAACTCTTTATTTCAATCTATTGCAAACAGTGCTGTCTCTATGAAATTACTTTATCTTGATGTCTTGTTACACGCTCCGTTAACCAGCAGTAATTTGCATCTGACTCATGCCTCTTTTGTGTTCTCGTAAATTAAACAATAATGCTTAAGTCCTCTTACAAAAGATAAGGTACCGTTTCACACACAATTGTTAGGTCTATTGAAAAAGAAAATATTCCACTGCAAAGTGCATCGACAACCGTTTAATTAATTTGTTATTGATCTATCGAGCATTCGTTTGGTTCTTTTCTAGGATCAAGTCATCAATAAAACACACTTAAAGTTTGGTTGTTTACAGTTTTTATTGAAATGCAACAATACAAAGATCCAGGAAATAAAAAAATTCTGTAACATCCATAGTAGGTCTAGTCTTCATCTTGTGGAATGGGCTGCTTTTCATACAATCGATTTAGTAAGAATTTTCGCTTATCGATCGCTAGGTCTGTCGATTCCAACCAATCAAAACCTTCTGTGTCTTTAAGCTCTTTTAAGTTTCCATCACTTTTTTTGAAGGTGGGGTCTTTTTTTTCATTCAAGAATCCACTGTAGATTCTCTAAGAGTACTTTTCTTAGCTCTTTTCTGTAAACAGGAAGAAGAGCGTTCTCGGCTTTCACGCGGGCCACATTTTCTGAATCTCCGTCCCTTCGTACTCATTGATCAATGCGTTGAGCTGGGTCTCATGGCGTTTCTCGGCTTCACCAAGAATGCGTGACCAAGGCTCTAAGTTTTCTGTTTCTTCTTCTTGGGAAGACTTCCGTTCCTTGGCTAGAGACTTCGCTTTCTTGGGAGAAATCGCCTTCTTCGCTGCCTTCATATTTTCCAGTACCTTGTTGAAGGTATAAGGTGTAAACTGTGCTCGTCATCTTTGGTTTGAACCGCACGCGTTGTGATAGGAAACCAAACTTCAGAGAGCAGCGCGCCTCTTTATAGAAAATTGGTGAAGGCGGGGTTAGTAAGCGTTCTCCTTCGTAAATAATAATCGATCTTACATCGACCCCTCATAGACCCCACATCGACCCCACATCGACCCCACATCGAACCCACATCGATCCTGCATCGACCCCACATCGATCCCAGATCGACCCTACATCGACCCACATCGACCCCACAACAAACTAGTATTACACCACGATTGACAAGAATTGGATTAGAACTAATTATGACATCACATTTGATTAGCGAAGCTATATAAACAGGAAAATAACTTATTTCCTTCAGTATGCTGGAGGTTCTCGAGTGGTAGAGATGCCGTATAAATTCAAGAGAGATTGCCCGGTATGTGGCAAGCCAGAGTTACTCTCCTTGGTGATCACCGACGTCAAGTGCGTCGATTAAAAGCCACGAATGAAAGCAATGGCTAAAAAGTAGCATGTATTTTCGGGGTCTAAGAAAAGTCTGGGTATAATACAAGGAGTGTCCCGACGTTTTACACAATTATTGCACACGGAAAAGGAAAAGAAATAGAGAACGAAAACGAACTATTGCAGCTGTCAAAGAAACGGAAAAACCTCAGCATTGTATAGTCAAGAGGCCCAAATTAACTAACGATGTTTCCCTGGAAACCAAGGCATATCCAGAATTTATGTTTCGACATTAATTTTCACTTCTCGTGGTGGGCCCCACTCAGTGTGGTAAAACATTTTTCGTTGAAAAAAATTCTCACAACGGATCGTATTCTTTACGAGAGCAAGAAACCGAGGCGAATATGGTGGTACTACAGTCAGTGGCAGGATACCTACAAAGAGATGCAGTCATCTATCGGAAAGGAAATTCAGTTTTTTCGTGGCCTTCCAGAGATTAGAGAAAATCTAAGGGAAATTGACCCAAAGTTTAACAATTTGCTGGTGTTTGACGATCTTATGGCCCAAGCAACAGATAGTCCTCTCGTTTCCCTTCTGTTTACCCAAGGCCGGCATAGAAATGCTAGTGTGATACTACTGCTTCAAAATATGTTTCCAAAGGGAAAATTTAACACGGACATCAGCCGGAATGCTCAGTACATGGCTCTTTTCCGAAGTCCTAGCGATCGAAAACAAATCGGTATCATTGCGGAACGAATGTTTGACAAAAATCGTCCGCGATTCATGTCAGCTTATTTTCAAGAAACGGGAAGAGCGTTTGGTTATATCTTTGTTGACAATCGCCCAGACACGCAGAGTGATAAGCAAGTATTGAGTGACATTTTCGGCTCTTGTCGTCGATATCCGACTATTAACAGCTCCGCAAAATCGGTCGAAAAGGACAAAACGAACAGTTACAAGGAAAACATTGCCTGCGAAGCTAGATCAGCAGTCAAATCACCTCCTATAGTCAAATCTTCCCCGCCAATTGTAAAAAACTCACGGCCATTTCCTTTTGATTCAGTCTGGTCTGAAGCAGCCTATCCCGTTGTACAAAATTATATACAAGGAGCGCCCCGATGCCAAACCCTACCAAAAAGTATTTGGGATCACGGAAATTTACCGCATTGCCAGACATCTTTATGATCCGTATCTTCCATCGTACTCGTATGGAAATTTCTGGCCTGTGAAAATAGAACACTATTGCAATGGAAAATCGAAATGGATTTATTTACACAAGGATGATTCTAACGTAAGATCTTTCTTAGAAAAGAACCAAACGAATGCTCGATAGATCAATGACAAATTAATTAAACGGTTGTCGATGCACTTTGCAGTGGAATATTTTCTTTTTTCAATAGACCTAACAATTGTGTGTGAAACGGTACCTTATCTTTTGTAAGAGGACTTAAGCATTATTGTTTAATTTACGAGAACACAAAAGAGGCATGAGTCAGAAGCAAATTACTACTGGTTAACGGAGCGTGTAGCAAGACATCAAGATAAAGTAATTTCATAGAGAGAGCACTGTTTGCAATAGATTGAAGTAAAGAGTTTCAGCTCCATTTTGCGTCTGAGTTTTGTTTATAACCGAATTTTTAGTCAGGTAAGCGAACTCGAACAAATTGTTTCCTTAGCAAAGCGATTGCAAGAACGATAGCTCTTTCGAAATCTAGCAGCTTTAATTTGGAAGATAGAATAAATTCTACATGACCCAATCAGGGTTAAAGGAACCCAGGCAAGACTAGGCAAAACTATTGTTTCTATTGAAGTAGAGAGACGCTCATTAGTAAACCCATACCGAATTAGTATGCAGGAATACCCTCATTAGTATTGAGGAACGCATTTTTTCCATAGGTTATAACAATGGGTGACGTCATGGACTCTACCCATATGCATATTAATAAAGGGAAGGCACTTAATTAGTATGCGGGAAGTCCAAGGGAAGTCCAAAATGGCCTATCTTTGCTGAAGCATGACTACTACCACCTGTACGCTGATGACACGCAACTATATATTTCCTTCAATAATGATTGTT